CCATTTATTCCACCTTTTGAGGGGTTCTGTAGACTTCCCCCCCAAACTCACCTTCATCAGTTGTGCAGCTGTCCTTACCCTGAAGAGGGCTGGTTCCCCCTCTCTCTTCATGGACTGACTACTGCCCATCGTGACTAGTCACTGGTATATATCCCGCGTCCGGGTACCTGTTTACCCCCTGGAGCACTCGGTGGGATCCTACCGAGAGGCCTGATTCCACCACTTTCCCAGCACAGCGTAATTTATGTGATACTTATCGATCACCGAAGCGCATCAAGTGGCGGTCAGACTGAGAGCACACCTCCCACTCCCACAGCGCAATTTATGTGATCCTGACCACCCGAAGTGTTTGTGGTAACCAGGCTAAGTGTTATACTTCCCTGGACCGCCCACTCGCACAGCGTAATTTATGTGGTTCTCATCACCCACTGTGTTTGGCAGGCCACACCGCACAATGATGAAAGTGGCTTTTCTCTCTCCCACACACAGTAGCTAACACAAGTCAAAACAAAAAGAGGGGTTCTTGGATGTTACTTAGGGGTCACTGGTTGGGCAGAAACCTGCTAACTGACCTTTAGGAAATTTGTGTAAAGAAAAAAAAAAACTTTCCTAATACACACAGAAAAACCCTTTTTCAACCTGAAAAAACTGTTAAAAGGACAAAGTGGATCCTTATGAAAAACACGGGACGTTTCACAGTAAAACAATTACACAGAGGTAAACCGAAAAACTGCGCCAAAAGTAACCTTGTTGCTGACGCAAAAATCACTCCTATCAGCACCGCTAAACGATCCACGTTACACACGCAATCTTCACTGCAACCACCTAAAACCGTTTACACAAAAAGTCTGCTGGACGCGAAACACGCGACACAGCAGCTTAAAACAAACCCGCTTTACAATAAGGAACTACTTTTAACAGGAAAAACACAAGAAAAACATAATCACTATACAAGAAATCTATGTGCAAAAACCCAGACTTCACCGCGCTCACTAAAAATGTGGAACACGTGAAGGGAAAACTCGCTTAACACACTTTAAATTGGCTGGCAATACGCAAATTTAAAGCTAAAAGCAAACAAATGAAACTGTAAAAAAATTTGGATTAAAAACACAATATGGGTCAAATGCATATAGGAAACTTCATGCACATTGCATAGAGATTACTGCACATATGGGTAGTCAACAAAATGGCCACCAACAGGGAAAGCACATGGTCATTAACAAAATGGCCACCAAACAAAAGGAGTCCATGTGGTTAGTCAAGAAAATGACCCCCCACAGGGAAGCACATGGTAAGATACTAGAAATGGCCCCCCACAGGGAAGCACATGGTAGACACTAGAATGGCCCCCCACAGAGGAAATTGCCTCTAGCCTCAAAATTGCCTCTAACTCTTACATAAAACAGACTTTTGGACAGAACATACACTGGACAATTACACAACAATATGAAGTACACATACAACACAATTTGGGCACAATCACAGAACGGACATAAAACACCAACATATCACACTAACATGCACATGTAACAGAAAGGACCCCCTGCTGCATGCTTGCTGGGAGCAGTAGTACCACAAAACACAACAGCACAGACTACATACACACAGAGATCTTACAACAGTTAACAATTAACCTAAACCTTTCAGCACTGTAATAATTACCTCACGTGGGAGGGGGGTAGAGCAATCACCACAGTACCTACAACCCACAAAATACTTACCTAACACTATGCAACAACTTTTTACCCACTAAAACATATACCCGTTTAATTTTTGGTTGGAAGATTTTTAAACTTGACCAAATCCAGCCAACCAAACCCACCCCTCTGCTGCTCTCTCGCAGAGAGACAAACCCTCGTCTTTCACCCACAAATCAAGAGTTTAGGACAAAAAAAAAACTAGGTCCTTGCTAAGCGGTAATTTCTTGTTAGCTAACAGAGAGCGAAATCAGCCACACGAACACGCAAAAAGCGATCCTCTTAATGGCAGAGAGACCCTGAAATGTGCCGGCATACTTTTTGCTAGTTCATGATGGCTATTCCCCCCCTCGTACTCTTGGTTAGCTATGCAAGAATACGCGTTAGTATCCACCAGGCTCGCCAAACTGTCTTGGAAATTCGCTTTAACGAATTTCTCCTTACCGTGAGTACTCGCAGTTGGATGCGCAGAAATCCCCCATAAAGCTGTGCGAATCTCGCTTACCACGACTGCAGCTAAACTACACGATTCCTGCCCATCCAAATACTTTTAGGTTCTGTTGAAATGTGGGGGGAATTGGAGCTCCGTTACCCTAGAATGATCACACGACACTCTCAGGATGGTGTTGCAATTCACATAAGGGCTGGTTTCAGACTCAGCTCTCTGTTTTATTAAAATATACACACATGCCCCCCACATGAATAAAGTCAATCCCCTCCCACCGAACAATGCAATGGGGAGTGCCTATACACAGGATGTACATTCCAATTGGAGCATAGCCTTTCCTATTATCTATCACTGGTCCTCCCCCATGAGTCTTCTGAGGTCAGCAGACTTCCTCCCCTTCCCCCCTCTGTGGAGAGCCATCTCCTCCCCTTCCCCCATGAGCCATCTGATATTTCCTGTCCTACTAGCTTCTATTGGTATGTAAATTCTTTGTACAAGCATTCCCTAAAAATATCAGTCTGTACCTGGATGGGCCCGATACGATCTTTATTAAAACACATCCATCCAAGATACAGTTTCAAGTTGGTAATGGGTTGTAAGATATGCATAAGCCTACACGTGGAGTTCACACCGCTTGGCGCCCTTGCGTTATGAAGCCCATGTGGTACTATGCTGCTGATATGTGGATACAGGCCCGCGGTCTACTGCCAGCGACATTCGCATCGAATGCCGTGGTGGTATACACGCCGGTCTATAAGCGCAGATCTGCCATCTCATCCATTACCAAGCTGAGTACTGTAATACATACATTGTACATGCGCATGGCCCAATTGCAGCCTTCAGAGCTTTAATTAAGCCACACGAGAGACATATGAATAACACGAATATATGACACATTTAAAGCATGACACCTTCCCCCACTTTTTAGGCCTATCATTTGCCTACTAATCATTTATGGAATATAAAATCCACTTTTGATTTTGTATAAAAGGTGGAAGACGCCCGAGGGAAGAAAAGCTTAAAAATCAGCAGGGGGTCAGGGCAGAGATTTGAAGGTTAAAGAACTGTTTTCCCCTCCCCTCCTTACCCACGAACTTACAAAGGAGTACAAGAAGGATACAAGCCACAGAGAAAAATGAAAAATAAAAACGTAAAAGGAAGCGGGCTTAAAGGGTCCCAGACTGGTACAATTAAAAAAATATACCTCCCAAGGAAACGTAACCCCAGAAAGATCCCAGAGCAGGACTGAACAAGGAGAAGTAGACCTTAGTATGGAAAGTAGTCCTAGAGTATCATTAGGTCTTGATACTAGTAACCAGCAAACATCAGGCAATATAGAGATGGAAAAAGATCTACAAATACCTAACAAAAAAGAAATGGCAGAAATGTTTAAAGAATTGGAGAAAACAATAAAACAAGAAATGGTAAATATCCGTAGCGATCTGGGACACCTGTTGGAGAGAGTTGAAGAAACGGAGGAGAAAGTTAAAAGTCAGACTCAGGCTATCTTTGAATTAGAAAAAGAAATAATTAATATAGGGAAAGCCCAAGAAAAACTGTTATATAAGGTTGAGATACAAGAAAACAAAGACAGGAAGAGAAACATCTTGATACGTGGGGTCCCAGAGAACTCAAAGGGAGAAAGTCTGCAAGAGGTGGTTTGTAAAATATTTAATACTATAACAGACAGCTCCGAAATGGATAGGACTAAAATAGAAGGAACCTTTAGAAAAGGAAAAATTCAAAGAATTCTGGGGAAAGAAAGGCCGAGAGATATACTAGTTAAATTTTATGAGCTTCGGGATAAAGAAAAAATCTGGAAGAAGACCAAAGGAAAATCAGTAATTAAATATGAAGGAGACATACAGATATATGCGGATCTGGCCCCAGAGACTCTGTGGAGAAGGAGATCTTTGAGACCCCTATTGGGAAGGTTGAAAGAACAAAATGTGCAATATAGATGGGGGACTCCCGAATGCTTAATAGGATGGAAAAATGGGACTACAGCATACCTCAAGTTTCCAGAAGATTTGAAAAATTTTTTTGACAGTTTAAAAATTCAAAGAATGGAAATCCCTGGTTGGGAAGAAGAACTATGGGAAAATAGAACGAAGAGAAAAGAGGACTGGCAATTTGTTGGGGGGATGAGGCGGGGGGGAGGGGGAGAGGGATGGAGGAGGAGAAATAGGGTTTTTTTTTTTTGTTTTTTTTTCTCCTCCATCTTTTTTTTTCTGCCCTCACCCCACCGTCCTTGTTTTACTGTGCCTGAGATAAATCTGGGTGGGACCTGGGGGGCTATGGGGAGGTTAGACAAGGGGAAGTTGTCCATGGACGGAGTCTTAGCCCAAGGTTTAAATCAAACAAATTCTTTTCATCTGGCGTGCTATTCAGTTCCGGAAGATCTCCCCATTACTGAACATTTGTTACCTAGCGCCATGACTTCCTATGAGTACAGAGCTCTGATCAGCAGAGAGAAATAGAATATCAAATACAATCCTCCCGTCCAATCACTAGCAATGCTGATTCCGGCCTCACACTGTCTGCTGATCCCATTCATGCTCCATACACAAGGAGATGATAGCACAATACGAGTCATGTCAGTGGTATTCTGTGCTCATCCTGTGTATGGAGATATCACCGTCTCTACACATGGAGGACAATATTGGGGGGTCTACTCCATTATAACATCTGTCTTATAAAATTCTATTTCCTGGAGATTTATAAAGTGATGGAATATAAATGATTCCAATAAAGAGAAATGAGTTCCATCCATGTAGAGAAATAGTTCCATTCATTCCTGGGGGGGGGGGGGGGGGGATTCATTTCGTTCTGGTAACATTCTTCTCTTCTTCTACAGATTGTATGGTAATCACCTGACAGACAGTTCCTGCCCCCACCTGGCATCTGGAATAAGAAATAACCCGACACTGAGGACACTGAACCTGTCTGGGAACAATCTGGAGGGTCCTCATTTCAGGGATCTGATGGTGGCTCTGACAACAAGCCGGATAGAGGAATTACGGTGAGTATAACAGGACTGACAGAGACAATCATATTCTGGGACAGATTAACATTCAATTGTCTAAATCTTCGATCTTCTCTAACTCTGTTATCAGCAATAAATTAGACTTTTTCTACATCTGGCCATAAGTGGATCAAATATGGACAGGTTTAGTAAGGACCAGCCGAGATCTGACCCATCTATGGGCAGGCTGGTTGTACTGAAGTTGATCCGTCAATCACATTCAGTACAACCATCCTCTGGGACTTTTTGCATTCGATCACTGCTGGAGGTCTATAGCAGCTAACAGTGATCAGTGTTCTGCTGGCAGGGAAGGCTTCCTGTTGGCAGAACACAGTTGTGCGGCAGGAGTGATTCCCCCATCCATTCTGACTGTGTTGATGGGGGGATTGAGCAATTGACTTTCTTTCCACCCGTAGTGGAAGGAAAGAATATTGTATAGTCTGTAGCTTACTTAAAGCTCCCCACACACAGTACAGTCTGATCTTACAATCTTCTTTACCTCCATTGCCTAATTGGATACAAACTGACTGGATACATTGGGTAGGTCCTAATATGATATAAAGTTGTACAAACAGCATAATATCAGATGGTAACATGGTGACCCTATAGACTATAAAATGTAACCATTAAAGTGTTACTAAACCCACAACAGTACAATCAGTCTGTAGATGCAGTAAAGCATGCTTGTGATACTCACTGTGGGGCCTAAGGGGTTAATCCTCTGCATTGTGTAAAAAGACCGATTGATCCTTTCTGCTCTGTTCCTCCTCTTTTTTCAAGCAACCACCTCTTATATCTTCTGATAAGACAGACTGAACCATTGGCATTTTGCACATGCTCAGTTTAGTGTGTATTGCTAAAGATTTTTTTTTCTTCTTTGGGAGGGTACATGTGATCAACGCAGCGCCAATCAGTGCTGTCCAGACAGAGATCAGGGGTTCTGCATCCTCCTAGAGCAGAAAGAAAACTCCTCCTACAAGTTTTAACCAGTGCTCTGCTGGACACTGATAGAAGTCAAAAGACTGCTATATACTGCTGATGAGAAAAAGGTATTTAGCAGTTTATATTTACTAAAATAATAGCTTTTCCATGTTGTGTGTACTGTGGGAGACCAGATATAGTGAATGCAGGGTTCGGGGAGAGCAGATATAGTGAATGCAGGGTCCGGGGAGAGTGGATACAGTGAATGCGGGGGCCAGGGAGAGCGGATATAGTGAATGCAGGGTCCGGGGAGAGTGGATATAGTGAATGCAGGGTCCGGGGAGACCGGATATAGTGAATGCGGGGTCCGGGGAGATCAGATATAGTGAATGCGGGGTCCTGGGAGAGCAGATATAGTGAATGCGGGGTCCTGGGAGACCAGATATAGTGAATGCGGGGTCCGGGGAGACCGGATATATAGTGAATGCGGGGTCCGGGGAGAGCGGATATAGTGAATGCAGGGTCCAGGGAGAGCAGATATGGTGAATGCAGGGTCCGGGGAGAGTGGATATAGTGAATACAGGGTCCGGGGAGAGCGGATATAGTGAATGCAGGGTCCAGTGACAGCGGATATTGTGAATGCGGGGTCCGGGGACAGCGGATATGGTGAATGCGGGGTCAGGGGAGAGCAGATATGGTGAATGTGGGGTCCGGGGAGAGCAGATATAGTGCATGCTGGGTCCAGTGATAGCGGATATAGTGAATGCGGGGTCCGAGGGAGAGCGGACATAGTGAATGCTGGGTTCGGGGAGAGAGGATATGGTGAATGCAGGGTCAAGGGAGAGCGGATATAGTGAAAGCAGGGGTCCATGGAGAGCGGATATAGTGAATGCGGGGTCCATGGAGAGCGGGATATAGTGAATGCGGGGTCCGAGGAGAGAGCGGATATAGTGAATGCTGGGTTCGGGGAGAGAGGATATGGTGAATGCAGGGTCAAGGGAGAGTGGATATAGTGAAAGCAGGGGTCCATGGAGAGCGGATATAGTGAATGCGGGGTTCAAGGAGAGTGGATATAGTGAATGCTGGGTCTGGGGAAAGCTGATGTAGTGAATGCAGGGTCCGTGGAGAGAGGATATGGTGAATGTAGGGCCCGCACATCGGATATGGTGAAGAAGGGGCTGAGGAGACCAAATTTAGTGAATGCAGGGTCCAAGGAGAGCGGATATAGTTAATGCACTGTCCGGGAGAGCGGATATAGTGAAGGCAGGGTCCGGGGAGAGCGAATATAGTGAATACAGAGTCCGGGGAGAGCGGATATAGTGAATGCAGGGTCTGGGGAGAGCGAATATAGTGAATGCAGAGTCCGGGGAGAGCGGATATAGTGAATGCAGGGTCCGGGGAGAGCGGATATAGTGAATGCAGGGTCCGGGGAGAGCGGATATAGTGAATGCGGGGTCCGGGGTCAGAGCGGATATAGTGAATGCGGGGTCCGGGGAGAGAGGGATATAGTGAATGCAGGGTCCGGGGAGAGCGCGGATATAGTGAATGCAGGGTCTGGGGAGAGCGGATATAGTAAATGCGGGGTCCGGAGAAGGCAGATATAGGGAATGCGGGGTCCGGGGAGAGCCAATATAGTGAATGCAGGGTTCGGGGTTTAGTAACACTCTACATTTATTTTGGTATCTGTATAAATAGATGACATTAAAGATGCTCATACATGGGAGAATCTGATCTTAATGCAATGAGTGATCAGAGCATCAAACAAATTCTCTTCATCTGGCGTGCTATTCAGTTCCGGAAGATCTCCCCATTACTGAACATTTGTTACCTAGCGCCATGACGTCCTATGAGTACAGAGCTCTGATCAGCAGAGATAAATAGAATATCAGATACAATCCTCCCGTCCAATCACTAGCAATGCTGATTGCGGCCTCACACTGTCTGCTGATCCCATTCATGCTCCATACACAAGGAGATGATAGCACAATACGAGTCATGTCAGTGGTATTCTGTGCTCATCCTGTGTATGGAGATATCACCGTCTCTACACATGGAGGACAATATTGGGGGGTCTACTCCATTATAACATTTGTCTTATAAAATGCTATTTCCTGGAGATTTATAAAGTGATCGAATATAAATGATTCCAATAAAGAGAAATGAGTTCCATCCATGTAGAGAATAGTTCCATTCATTCCTGGGGGGGGGGGGGGGGGGGTTAATTTCCTTCTAGTAACATTCTTCTCTTCTTCTACAGATTGTCCTATACTCACCTGACAGACAGTTCCTGCCCCCACCTGGCATCTGGAATAAGAAATAACCCGACACTGAGGACACTGGACCTGTCTGGGAACAATCTGGAGGGTCCTCATTTCAGGGATCTGATGGCGGCTCTGACAACAAGCCGGATAGAGGAATTACAGTGAGTATAACAGGACTGACTGAGACAATCATATTCTGGGAGAGTTTCCATTGAAATCTTCCAGAGACCTCTATGCCTGCCTGGCCTGAACAGAGCAGAGACAATCACTGCAGACATTTTTCCATCAGATAATTGAACTCACCAAACACTTTGCAACCATGAATATTTTTCTTGTATGGAGGACGTTCCGGCAAACTATACAATGTGGAAGAATTCTGTATATTTAGTGATATAGAGTAAAAGTGTCTGTGTCTTGAAGAAAGGATAGAAGGAAATTACAATGAAAGAGAAAAAATGACATCACACAGATACAGGGGAGGATACAGAAATAATGAGTGCATTAAAAACAGTGACCATAAACAATACATGAACAAAACTGAGCTGCATGGTCAAGTTGCCAGAAAGAAGTCTTTACTGTGCCAATGCCTCAAAAAAGCCTGGTTACAATACACCTGACAACACCTTGACACGTCTCTCCGGGCTTTTTTTAGCATTGGTGCAGTAAAGGCTTCTTTCTGGCAACTTGACTACGCAGCTCATTTAAGTTCAAGTATTTTCCCATTGTGCTTCTTAAAAAAAAAAAAACACACCATCTTTTTACACAGCAGCCTGTATTTCTCCTGAGGTTAGATGGGGTTTTTCTTTGTTTCCCAAATAATTATTCTGGCAGTTGTGGTTGCTTTTACTTGGTCTACCTGACCTTGGCCTGGTATTCCCTGAATTTTCTACTCCTTAATAAGTGATTGAACAGTACTGACTGGCATATTCAAGACTTTGCATATCTCTTTTATATGCTTTTATCTTTATAAAGATCCATTACCTTGTTACGCAGGTCTTTTGATAGTTCTTTCTGATCCTCATGGCTCAGTATTAAGCCTGCTCAGTGCTTCCATGTGAGAGCTAACTAACTCATTATACTACTTATACACAGACACTGATTGCAATTGAAATAGCAACAGATGTGGGAAATGAATGTTTATTTGCCATTGTAACCTGTGTGTCCCCTTGTGTGCCTGTACCAACATTCCAGGGGAGGGAAACTTTTGCTCAGGACTATTTGGGTGATTTCGGTTATCTTTAGGATTTAAAAAGGAGCCAAACAACTCTGTGATAATAAATGGCTCCTCCATGTCTTTATGGACCTTGCTTTGTGCACTGGTGCACAGTCATGTTGGAACAGGAAGGGGCCATCCCCAAACTCTTCCCACAAAGTTGAGAGCATGAAATTGTCCAAAATGTCGCCTTAAGAGTTCCCTTCACTGGAACTGGGGGGCCAAGCCCAAACCCTGAATAACAACCCCCACACCATAATCCCACGTCACCAAACTTTACACTTTGCACAATGCAGTCAGGCAAGTACCGTGCTTCTGGAAACCGCCAAACTCAGACACGTCCATCAGATTGCCAGACAGAGAAGCGTGATTGGTCACTCCAGAGAACACGTCTCCACTGCTCTAGAGTCCAGTGGCAGCGTGTTTTACACCACGGCATCCAACGCTTTGCATTGCACTTGCTGATGGAACGCTTAGATGCAGCTGTTCGGCCATGGAAACCCATTCCATGAAGCTCTCTACACACTGTTGTTGAGCTCATCTGAAGGCCACACCAAGTTTGGAGGTCTTTAGCTATTAACTCTGCAGACAGTTGGCGACTTCTGCGCACTGTACGCTTAAGCATGCGCTGACCCCGCCCTGTCATGTGACGTGGCCTACCACTTGGTGCTGAGTGGAAGCAACTGGGAACAACAGCCACTTTGTTATAATCTCACTAACAGTTGAGCGTGGATTATTTAGTAGCCAGGAAATGTCACGGATGTACTTATTGCACAGGTGGCCACCTATCACAGGACCACGCTTGGAGTCACCGAGCTCCTGAGAGCGACCCATTCTTTCACCAATGTTTTGTAGAAGCAGTCTGCATGCCTAGGGCTTGATTGTATACACCTGTGTCCATGGAGGAGATTGGAACACCTGAATCACATGATTGGGAGGGCAGGGCCCAATACTTTTGGTAATATAGTGTATGTGATGTTGGAGATGTTGGAGGAAGCACGGCCAATAAAATAAAAATTTGGCAATGTCATTAAAATTAACCCTGGAGGAGGCATTGAGATGCGCCTATTACAGAAACTTAAATACTTTAAAATGTTTAACGACTAATAGCGTCACATACGGCCAACACATGTGGGGGGGGGGGGGGGGGGGGGTGGTAAGGCCTCCTCCAGTTTCAGGGCCTTATTCACAGGATTAGAATTGGAATTAAAATAAGGTGGTCGGTTTTTTATAACTTTATATATAATTAGAATTGAACACGATCTTATGTAGGTGATAAATAGGACACACACACATGATGATAAGTTGACGAATGATATATATAATGGGACCTGTATGGATCATATGTTTTAAAGTGATAATTATTATTATTATACACAGTATTTATAAAGCGCCAATGGTTCGCTCAGCGCTGTACATTACAAAGGGGGACAGAACATGTGACAGAACAATAACAATACAATGCAAAACATGAGGGGATTTGAGGGCCCTGCTCTTTCGAGCTTACAATCTAGGAGGGAGGGGATGGTGGTACAGGAGGAGATAGCTGTGGGGGATGGAGTGGTAAGAAAAGTGGAGGAGGTTGGCAAATTATGATAATAAAGGCAATTTTAAAAAAAGAAAACTAACAAACATGTGATACTTACCTGCTGTGTGCAGTCATTTTGTTCCTCTACTCGGGGTCTCCCGCTAGCGCTTCTGGCTCCTCCTTCCTACCAAGTGCTCCCACAGCAAGCAGCTCGCTCTGGGGGGCACCTGAGCAGGCTCATTCCTAAGCCGCTGCCCTGAACATATATTCATACACCAAGCCGCAGTCCAACTCCTCCCCCTCTCTCTCCTCTTTGGGTCACTGGCTGTGATTGACAGCAGTGGTAGCCAATTGTTCTTGCTATTGTCACAGGAGGGAGAGTCTCCGGAAAGCCGAGGCTCCTGTGCACATTGCTAGCAGCTTACCAGTCCTAAGATGTGTTGGAGGCATTTATTTCCTTATTTCAGGCCTTTCCTTTATCTTCTCCTGTTGATCCCACCAGTAAAGCTGTGTACACACAGGAAGGTTTTTTTTTTTGTTTGTTTTTTTTCGCTCAGCCAGTGGGATAGAAAAAAAACAGATCCTTGTATCAGCATGATGATGTAGGGATCTCTCCCACCACTGAGATATTGTATTCTGACAGGGGGGCTCCCCTCCAGCCAGAATACACTGATTAGGGCTTGCACCCATTGGCTTTCCATTATGCCATTCAACAGACCGGCTGAACCAGCTGATTTTCTGCCCATGTGTACCAGGCTTAAAGTGGTTGTAAAGGATAAAGGTTTTTTTTACCTTCATACAGTACATTTTATGCATGAAGGTAAAATCCTTTTGTGTGCTGCTCCCCCCACAGCCCCCCTAATACTCACCTGAGCCCCCTTTTGATCCATGATGTGCACAAGAGCCTTGGCTGTCCCAGGACTTCCTCTTCTCATTGGTTGAATCAGCAGAGGGAGCCACTGTCCATCACAGCCAATGAGGAGAGGACAGAGGGCAAGGACGAGCTCCGGCTCTGTCTTATGGACACAAAGAGCAGGTCTCAGGAGCGAGCATGCACCAGTGCCCCCATAGCAAGTGGCTTGCTATTGGGGGCACTGGTCAAGGGGAAGGAGCACCAGTGGGGAATCCCAGAAGAGGAGGGTTGGATTGCACACAGCAGTATAACATCTTTTTTGGGGTTTCTCTTTTTTTAATTTGAACCTTTAGTACCACTTTAACACACTTGGTAGATTGTAAAAAATCCTAGATTGTAAGCTCCAAGCAGCAGGGCCCTCGAACCCCTCACGTATTGCATTGTATTGTTATTGTACTGCCGCATGTACTGTCTCCCATTGTAATGTACAGCGCTGAGCGAACTGTTGGCTCTTTATAAATACTGTATAATAATAACTTCCTGTGCTAGGATGACAACACTCACTGACTGCACTGTGTTTAGGAAAAGCAGTGTTGTCACCCAAACCTGCACAACTGATTTGGGCTACAAACATCTTCTGTCTACATCTTCATTACGGGGGGGGGGGGGGAAATTAGTCATTTACAGACACTTTCTTGGAAAGGAAATTACTATTGTTTGTTTGTTTGTTATAAGAAGAGTAGAAAGACAAAGCATTTCTGGAAGGATCAACTTGTTAAACAAGGTAAATAAATTAAATTCAACTATTGCAGCCACCACATTTGGGCTTCATTCAAATCTGAGCGTAGCGGTTTTCAGAGTTTTTACCGCAATTTTTTGCGTTTTATTATTATTAGTAATAATATTAATTAAAAAAAATGATGATGATAAATACACAAACAATCATAAATAAATACTATGTAACAATACATTAATAATAATTAACCCATAACCTCCTAACCCTAAAAAAAGTAAATAATTAATATTTTTATTATAAACACCTTAAAATACATTATTAATAATAATTCATTTCATATTTTTTTAAGGTTAAGGGTTTAAAATTGATTTAGTTTTTTTTTTATTTATCATGATTTTTTTTGTTTATATACTGTATGTACTTCTTATTTATTTTACATTTATTTATTCATATATTTTTACTTTTTTTTGTTTACTTTTTTTATTTGAGCAGAAAATCGCACAAAAATGTGCGAAATCACGCAAAAATACACCAATCACACATTTCTATTCTTTTCTATGGGAATCACAACGCGCGCCAAAGATGTGCACATCTTCCCAATCTGAGTTACAAAGGTAGCTCCAAAACTTTTTTGAGCTTCAGCCGTTCTGCTTCAGGCGACTTGGAGTGGAGATGTGAACCATCTCCACAGAGGAATATTGATTTTCTTTTCCCCCTGAGTGTTTTTGAGCTTCGAACTTCACGCTGCAAAACGCTCAAGTGTGAATGGGGTCTTCAAGACTGGTAAGCTGCAATATGTCACAGTTTTGCTCTTGGATAGAGATATAATTTAACTCCTTCCGTGCTGCAGAGACCCAAAACAAATCTGGAAAATCTGACGACCTGTAGAATATAAATATGGTAGTTATACATTTTTTGTTACATTATATTTATGGTAACTGATTTTCAAAGCTATATTTTCAGTAAAAAAAAAAAAATACATTCAAATTACTTTTACTGCATCCTAACATAAAGTGTGCCCATCAGAGTGCCATTTACCATGAAATGTGCCCATCGGTGTGCCTCTGAGAATCTTTTTTGAAGTAGAAGCACACACCTACCTTGAGGGCAGACAAGGAGCGGGAGCCAGAAGAGGTAGCGAGCTGCAGGGGGCGGAGAACCTTGCTGAGGGTGGAGAGGCGCCCACATGACGTCACATCATACCCTGCGGGCAAAAAATGGAGCAGGAGAGATGCCAAGCCACAGGGGGCACACATGACGTCATTGGTTGCTGGGATGTCCAGGGTCCCAGCAACCAATTGACTGCTGGGCGGCAGGGATTGGACAGTTTAGTCTGGTGGGCTGACAGTCCGGACAGGAGCATCGCTTGGTCGGTGTCCGCACCGCGGTCCGCCATTTAATGATGGCTGCTTTAAATCCTCTCTTCTAGGATCTTGAATAATTCCTTGTCAGATGAAACTGAAAGGGAACTGAAAAAGTTGAAATCCCTCCGACCAGAACTGAAGGTTTATACATGGTGAATCCAGAGGAAGAACCTCTGCTACAGCTGTGAATGGGATATTGCTCGGGATGACGAGGAGAATAAGAATTCGATATGAATAACCCGACTCAAGAGGGGAATGAAACATCAAAGAAGAACTAATCCACCCAGGACAGGATGGGGGAGGACTTTGTAACTGTTTTGTTCCCAATACTACTGAACATGAAGGGGTGACACTCCAGTCAGCCATGAACATTTTCCCCCATAAAGTGACTTGGGAGACACGGCTGTCTCTAATGATCATCCTTGCATTCGTCTTCCACAGCTCATCCAGAGATAATACAGACGGAGTGATGAAGAGATGGCACCAGTGGTGTATTTAGGTTTTATGCTGCCCTAGGCAACACAAAAATTGGCGCCAATTGTGTGCCAATGACAATTTTCCAAACTTTATTCATACAAAAGCCTTATTAAGTGTTCTTGCGTGGCGACCACTTACTGTTATCTCACATATATATTCTTATTATTATAGCCAAATTTACCCCCTAACTCCTCCCACAGTTTTTACACTACATAGACAGTAATATACTTAACTAGAGTGGGAACTGACAAAAGCTAGAGTGTGAGCTGAAAAATCAGGACATGATTTCTAAACTGCCATCACCCCCTCATTTTCAAGCCCACCTACACAAATCTTATATCAAAACGTTCAGCTATCCCTGCTGCCACTAAAAATGTCCACGGCTAAGCCATAGTCCTGATAGTTTTTACAATATGACCATTTGTTTGCAACTCACGCCGCCCATTGACATTCATTGAAACTCCACTCTAGCCACCTCAAATTTGAAGGGCAATTTCTCTAAACTGCGACTGTGCCTTCATTTTTAATATTTCAGAGACATACTATGCATCAAAATGTAGGTCTGGGTCATGTGATTCTCACAATATAAAGCTCTTTGATGTAGGATTTATAATTTTTAAACTACAACCATTTGAAGATGGCAACCAACAGTGAAGTGAGCAAGTTGGAGCAGTTTGTTTTTTAACCGCTCTTCTCTGCCCTTGCTGTAGAGCGAGTTGCCATAGGAACCCAGGTGTGTGAGCAGGCAGCAGAGTGACAAGCCACTCCACCCAGTTACTCTGCTCACTCCAGTTGTAGACTACTGGTGGAGGCAAGAACACTTCACACAATTTCCACAGAAATTGCAGCTTTTCTAGTTTAACAATGTAATATTTATTACTGCGTTCTTTCATAATTCTGTTTGTGGGTTGGATGCCAGGCTGTCTAATAAGAGAGCCCAGCACTAGTTCTGTCATTGACTGCTATAGCAGATTGAAGGTCTACAGCGCTCTGAAAAAGTATTCCTACATTCATACCCTTGAAATGTTCCACATTCTGTCATGTTACAACCACGACCGTCAATGTATTTGTATCCAGAGTCATTACTTTGTAGGACCCCCTTTGGCTGCAATTCCAGCTGCAAGTCTTTTTGGGGATGTCTCTTTGCACATCTAGAGAGGGACATTTCTGCCCATTCTTCTTTGCAGAATCCCTCAAGCTCTGTCAGGTTGGATGGAGAGCTTCTGGGAACAGCAAATATCAGGTCTGGCCACAGATTCTCCATTTGGATTTAGGTGTGGACTGTAACTGGGCCATTCTAACACACGAAGATGCTTTGATCTGAACCATTCCATTGTAGCTCTGGCCGGATGTTTCCGGTCGTTGTCCTGCTGGAAGGTGAACCTCTGCCCTGGTCTCAAGTCTTTTGCAGACTCCTAATATTGCTCTGCATTTGGCTCTATCCACCTCCCCATGAACTCTGACCAACTTCCCTGTCCCTGCTGAAGAAAAGCATCCCCACCACATGATGCTGCCACCACCATATTTCACGGATGGTGTGTTCAGGGTGATTTATATTGTTAGTTTTGCTTTTAGGCCAGAAAGTCCCATTTTGGTGTCATATGACCAGAGCCCTTCTTCCACATGTTTGCAGTGTCCCCCACATGGCTTCTCACAAACTGCAAATGAGACTTCTTATGGCTTTCCTCCAACAATGGCTTTCTTCTTGCCACTCTTCCATAAAGTCCAGATTTGTGGAGTGCACGACTAATAGTTGTCCTGTGGATAGATTCTCCCCCCTGAGCTGTGGATCTCTGCAGCTCCTCCAGAGTTCCCATGGGCCTCTTGGCTGCTTCTCTGATGAATGCTCTCCTTGGCCGACCTGTCAGTTCAGGTGGGGCGGCCATGTCTTGGTAGGTTTGAAGTTGTGCCATACTCTTTCCATTTTCAGATGATGGATAGAACAGTGCTCCGTGAGATGGTCAAAGCTTGGGATATCTTTTTATAACCTAACACTGCTTTAAACTTCTCCACAATTTTATCCCTGACCTGTCTGGTGTGTTCCTTAGCCTTCATGATGCCATTTGTTCACTAATGTTCTCTAACAAATGTCTGAGGACTTCACAGGACAGCTGTATTTATACTGAGATCACATGACACACAGGGGGACTCTATTTACTAACTAGGTGACTTCTGAAGGCAATTGGTTCCACTAGATTTTAGTTAGGGGGATCAGAGTAAAGGGGGATGAATACAAATGACACACTTTTCAGATATTTATTTGTAAATCATTTATCACTTTCCTGCCACTTCACAATTATGTGCTACTTTGTGTTGGTCTATCACAGAAAATCCCAATAAAATACATTGACGGTTTTGGTTGTAACATGACATGTGGAACATTTCAAGGGGTATGAATACTTTTTCAAGGCACTGTATATTCACAACTCTGGCAGACTAATCAAAGTGTCAAATGTCTTGTTTACTACAGAGAGGGAAAAATGAGAACCATTTCTAATCAAAATATTTATATTTAATAGTTCAGATTTACTTGTCATAAGAGAAGCAGAAACATCTTCAGATCGGTATGTTGTCTTCATTTAATATAATACATGAATAAAGCAAATATTTGTACAAGCGCCTTACTTTTTCTTTCATTTCATCTGATTTAAAGTATCCGAGGAAGAGAAAGCTAATTTAGGGCTGGTTCACAGCAGTGCAGGAAATGCAAATTTCTGTGTGCGTTTTCCACACCGCAGAGGAATACGCTGCCTTTGCTGGACACATGCAGATGCCAATAAATGTTAATGCATCTAGAAAATATGTACATTTTGCAGCCACCAAATCGCATAGTAGTACTGCAGCAGTATCAGACAATTTGGTGCAGCATTTTTTAATGTAGCACCCTCCTTGTCAGCTAGGGGGAGCTCTAGTTCCAATTGTTAGTGAGGAGGGCTGAGTAGCAGCCTGGGTGTGATAGTCAGAGGGAGGTCAACTTTTGGTCAGGGCTGAGTGGCTCTGCAGACCAGCTTTTTGGAACTTCCCCCTGCACTAGAACTTTGGAGGAAGATCTAGTAGCAGTGGGTAGAGGTGAGGAGTGGCTGGTCTGTAGTCTTAGAGGACCCTGGCCAATCCCTGACAGGAGGCATGGCAAGGGGCCAGGACATCCTTTAAGAGTAAATGAGCCTGCTCAGCAGCAGGGGAGTTCAGGGGGAAGATGGAGACGTGAGGTTGGAGAGGAGGAGGAGCCTGGGAGGGGGCCCAGATGGGGAAGGGCTCACCTACAGGCAGAGGAGCTTGGAGGAAGCAAAGCTTGGGACTTCACCAGCCCCCAGAAAAAGAGGACCACCTATGCAACAGGAAAGGAGCGGCCCAACTAGAAGGCCTGGTAGCAGCCACGAACCCACCATCGGCACAGGAGAAGGACTGAGTGAGTAAACTTGCACCCCTGGACCAGTGAGGGGAAAGATGCACTCTGCTGGGAAACTAGATTAGCTTTTCACCTGGGACTGTTTCACACTGCAGTGGCATCGCAGGCACTGGATCCTGCCCAGGGATTCACCCAGTACAGCTGGATGAGGAGAGGATTCATCTGGGGTCTGGGGTGGTACAACAGGACATGCTGGCTAGCACTCCAGAAGAAAATGTTGCTGTAAAGGCTTGTACATAAATTATAAATAAATAAGTGATGTAGCGCTACTAAACAATAGCTACAAAAAATAAAAGTGACATAACTGAATGAAACGTCCATAATGAGTCCATAGATGTAAAATCAATTTGTAATAAAGATTCTTCCATAATTCATGTGTTTTCTTCTTGTGCTGATATCCCCAAACACCATCCAGTAGAATAGTGCCCATAACATACAGTGCCACCTCAGTGCTCACAGAACTCTCACCTCAGAGCACATGGAAATGCGCTTTATGACATCCAATAGGAAAACGGATTCTTCCATTTGTCAGATTGTCAAACCAGAGCAAAGGATCGGTCCCTTTACGGGTGATGGAGGTCACACATTCCTATCTTGAAAAGGGAACAAATGGCGTCTCCCATGGTGCAGGATGTACGAATATAAAATGTATAAAGAAGCAGTAATACACTCACATGTAGGAAATGAATAAAATGCCATCAAATCATCAGATGCCGGCTTCACTTGTTGTCAGCTGAACTCACTATTCATGTCTGCCCAGAGCCAAGTGTCTACACAGAAATGATCGCTGATTTGGGGATTGAAGATGCTGTGTTCCGTAAATTGGTGTGTACCCGACACTCGTCCTGCTGCTCATTAGATCCCTTTTTATCCCAAAATGTTCTAACATTAAGTTTGTGAATGAATTTTTGTAAATCTATCTATATATGTATCTGTTGTCTGTCCAATAGTTTATCTGGGGCAAATTTCAATCTTCATTCTAAAACGTTCAGTTGGTCCTCAGTGACCTCCACATCACTCAGGTTACACATGCCGACTTCAACCTCTCTTTTCCTTTTTCCTCTTCCCCCCCCTACACCCCCTCCTTCTCTTTCTCCATTTCTCATATAGGAGCCTGTTGCTGACATCTGGGGATCTGATCTCCAAATCCCTCTTCCTCTCCCTGGTTGGAAAAATGGGGCTCCCCTCCCCCTGAGGTAAGGACCCCCTCCACGGTGGACCCCCATACTCTCTCTCCTCGAAAATCCCCTCCATTTGGGTGGGGGTGGGG